CATGGCAGACATCCCTATGACCTGCCCCAGGATTTTGTTGACAAAACTGCGTCAAACAGCTGGTTAGCTCGGGGATGCCTCTTTGGGGAGACGTAAGGATTTATGATTGTCATACAGGATCAGGACATAAATACTAAAAACTACAGAAAACACATACTCAAAGATACAACAATCACAAACGACACATGCAAAAAATGTCACATCATGCCAGAAACAATACATCACATCACATCTGGTTGCAAGCTCTTGGCACAGACAGAAATTTACATAGACATCATCAAGTAGCAAATATATCAAGAGCTTGCAAAAAACACAAATTATTAGACATCCACGAACCATACTACAAATACGTTCAACAGACAGTATTGGAAAACAACACGCACAAAATCTACTACAACAGTCATAATCACAGATAAAACAATTTACCACAACAGACAAGACATCACACTCATTGACAAACACAATAAAATCATATACATTATAAACATATCTGTTCCAAACACTGTATAAAACATATGCAGTGAAAAAATTAGCAAGTACACAGAACTCGCTCAGGAACCTAAGGCATCTGTGGAGGATGGATACGGTGCTTATTGTATCTGTCGTTCTCTCCTTTACCACACACGCTACACAAAAGCCTGGGAACATTAAAATTGAATAGAAACACGCATCACACTACAGAAGGCCACTATATTGAATGCATGTCATATTGTTAGGAAATTCCTGAATACAGACACACACTGACAACACTTATTTAATTTAGCTCTTGGTTGCTATGCCTTGACTCTCGTCCGGCGTAGTACACAGCCATCGGTGTCAACCGAGTATAACTCACAAAACTCAACATAATAATAGTAATATGTTTATGACATTACGAAATTCCACTAATAGCAGGGCTGTGGAGTCGCGTAAAAATCTACCGACTCCGACTATTCCTTACCATCCGACCCGACTCCGTTTCATATACTGTACATAACAAGTTGATAAGTAAACGGGAGTCAGAGTCGGCGGATTTTTTGACGACTCCGACTCCGACTGCGGCTAAAACACCAAAACTCCACGACTCCGACTCCACAGCCCTGACTAATAGTACCATATCGTATGTTTTTGAGGGGAATAACATTTTGGTGTGCCGTGTTGAGTCATTTCAAGTCATAGGTGTGCTGCGAGAAGAAAAAGGTTGCGGAACACTGGCCTAGTGCAACCTCCATCGACCGTTTCAATCTCGACTAAAACGAGATTCAATCGCTATCGACTCGAGAGAGTTCTCGAAACTAAATCCAGTCATAAGAGAGATCCCACAATCCCACGCGCGCGAGAAAATACAAGATGGCTGCGGAACACGTGTCGGGCTATCAACAGCGAAATAAGAAAGATATTGTATTTCGAGAGACGATGACATCTGTCTATTATTATAATAATACCTAACGATAAAATAAATGATTTAGAAAAGTTTTTCTTGTTTAACTGCTTTCCCTATGACTTTTTCTGATTAAAAAAAAGCCAATTTTTATGTTTATAAAATATTTTGAATGAAAAATATTAAAATATGTACAAAATAAACCATTTTGAACACACATTTTTATTATTTTTAAAAAAAAATATAGTTCTGGCATAAACAATGTTAAATTTTAACTGACTTAATTTTGCGAACGCATCTTTTTTTTTATTTATATGGATATCTTAAGGTCAGTTTTTGCGCTAATGTTGCTAATGAACCATTTGAGCGGGAAAAAAAATTTGTTAAGGAAAAATTTTCTGTTAGCGAACCCTTTGTTAAATATTTCGAATATCACCACTGCCTTAAAGATTTTTCATAGTTTGTTATATGTCAAGGATATTACACTTTTTGATGACTAAGTCAGCTAATCTAAGCTTTATGATTTTTTAGATTACCGCAAATGAAATTAATTATTACTACTAAGACTAAAATAATTGTTTTCATCTTAGTAAATCGTTTAAAGTCTTGCATTAACTTCATTATTCCCAACCAGGAGTTACTAATATCTTCTACAGTTAAACATTACATTTTTTTTCAACAAAAAATTGTACTAACCATCGTTATACGAAATATTCTCAGACTATCCAAGAAATTTAAAAAAAAACTTTTAATAAAGTTAAAGTAGGACGTTAAAAACGTGTTTTTCATTATTGATTCTATTATTGCCCGGATATATGACTATCTTCTGCCTATTTGGAGTAATAAATTATTTGGACAGAATTCAGATAACCAGGTTTTATTATAAAATGTATTTTTATGTTAGAAAAATCTATATATGGAATATAATAGTAAAGTAATTCGATAAAGAAATGTAAAGCATTTGTAATTTTTGAAATTTGCTATGCGAATTAAACAGAAAGTTTGCATAAGTGATATCAATCGAACAATGTCACTTTTTAAGACAAATGGAAAATGAAATACAAAACTTTATTTATTGAATTCCAATTACTAGGTTCTCAATAACGTTAAGTATTTCACTAATTTAAGTTTCTGTTTACATTCCTTCTGTAATTCCACTTTTATCTTCCTACTTGCAAATGGCAAATTTCAAAAATTGAAAACATTTCTAATATTCTACGTAATTTAATAATCGAAATCAATATCGACATTACGAAATACGTCTATCATTCGATAATCGAAATCAATATCAACGTTACGAAATACGTCTATCATTTTATAAATTGAACAAATGTAGCCTGTTCATATTGGACGAACAGTTTAGTCGATCGAAAACTAATCACAGATTGGTTTCTGAATGTCATCTCCTTCTCAAGAACAAGCTGCAATTGTAGTTTATCCGATAAGAATTTAAACGAGCCATTTGCATAAATTTGGTGAAGAATAAGCATTAATTCGATCACCAAACATTTTATATATCTCTCAAATTTTTGCATTGCAGTGCTTTTATCTGCCTTTTATTATCGTAGTTGCAATCAACAATTATCAGGATGTACGCAGGATTAAGAGAAGGAATTTGTATGGGCTGCTTTCTAAAACCCTTCTGGATGATGGCTCTGGTCTTCGGTGTGGAGCCATATTTCATTTGCAAATGCCAAAATATTTCATTTAAAATGGAAAAATTTAAAAATTACTACATTCGTTTTATCAGATATTTATTTTGCCAATATTCTGTCTTCTTCGTCTTACAGACCATTTCTAGTGTAAACGAGAATGTGTTTTGTAGGGGATTCTATTTATTTATCAATAGAAATGCAATAAAAGTAGCTTTTGCAATATTTAATTTAATTTATTTATTTACTTTGATTTTCTTCAAAAATAATAAAGCGGATCTTAATATAGAATTGCGAGACGAATACTTTCGAAAAAAAATGATAAACGGGAATTCTGTAACGAGGAATTTCTCTCTCCTCTATTCTCTCATAATAATTGTATTTATATTGTGTATACAAATCTTGAATTTAATTTATTATCCCTCATTGATAAAGATGAAGAAATTCAAAGGGGAAGCTGCATTGTGTAATGTTCTAATTGGTCTAAATATGAATCTGGTCGTAGGTGGAACTGCCTACTACTTCTTGTTAGGTGGTGTATTGTTATTAATTGCTCAGAAAGAATTTGACCGACTCGTTTGTGACTTCACTATATTAAAAAGAAATGAGATGAATCTGGCTTCTAAATTGAATGAATTGGTAGCGCATCAAGACAAATTATGGAATTTTGTTGATCAGTTCAACACTAAACTCAATTTCCCACTCGGTGTCATTTACTTTGGTATTATATGGAATACGTGCTTATTTTATTATTCTTATTTGTTTTTGGAATTTAACAATTTCATACGATATTGGTTATTGCTGCTGGTGATATGTTTCACTTTCCTTTGTATAATAGCCGCCATTTTGTTATGTTCGTTTGCATTCGCGGTATGCAAATACGTAATAAAATGATAATGATGCAAGGAAATTGGCTGGAGAAATAACATTTTCTGTATTTCTTTCAGATGGAGAATGGCTTTCAAGATATAAGACAATTTGCTGTTTGTAAATTAAAATTGGAACAGAAGCTAAAGGTAAACTTTCGGAATTTACTTTTTTAAATGTTTATTGTGTTTAATAAATAATTAATTTTAATTTTATTTAGATTTTGAACTTTATGAAAAGATTTGGAAGAGTTTCATTGCATCTTTCGATAGGTGGTTTCTACATTATCGATAAAAGAATTCCTTTTAAGGTAACTGAATAAATTTTTCTTCAATTTCTTGTCTCCATGATTTCAGCAAAATTGAAATAAATGACAAAAAAAAAAAGATTCTTTCAGATCGAATTTATGAAATTCGTTTTGAACGAATTTATTGTAAAAGAATAACAGCCTATATGTTGAGTAAAACTTAAGTTCTTTTGAGATAGTTAAATTTGATTTTTTGTATACGTTGAAAAAATGTTTACAGAATAATCTGTATATGGTAACGAGTGATGAACTTGTTTTTTTTTCAGATGGCAAGTACTTTATATTATGTTTTTTCTGGAATGTTAAAATTGGAAGGAGTGTCTCGTTCGAAGAATTGTGATAAGTTTTTTTCTAACTTTACCGAAAATAATTAATATATTTAAAATTGCATTATAAAAAATTTCTAAGAATTTGGCGTCAAATTAAACGTCAACATCGACCTCTACCGCAGGTTGAGTTGGTCTCAAATTTCCCCAAAAAGGATATGTCAAACGTGAATATCATATTGTTATCACGGTGATCAAACGCATCTAATACATTGAGCCTGTTCACTGGTAAGCACCTGGTGAGCAGAGTAAGCCCATAACATTGTCAATTTAAGGAAAAAAATTCTCTTCAACTGATGGGAAAAAAGCTATTGTTTTGTTTGAATTTATAAAAGATTACATTTTGTAAATATAATATTTTGATATTAATTTATTTATTTATTGTATAACCTACCTTTCTAAGCAAAACTTAAACTTGTCATTTATTTTTTTAAATGTATTTTGTCTTTCAAAGTTAGTCATTCAAAATTTTTAAAATTATTATAAAATTGGTTTTATTCTAAATAGGTAATAAATACTTTTAAATTACAATAACTTTATTATTAATAAAAGTTAATCATCTATATTCTGTGTTCTATGAAATTGCCTCCTTTGTCTTCTCCTAATTGATAAATCAGAAGCTTCTGTATTTTCATCTCTAAATAAAGAGAAATAAATCCAAAAACAGTTTTGAGATTAAAAAAATAAAATAAAATGCAGTGGAAATTCAACTATCCACAAAAATTTTCAAAATAAATGAGCAATTATTTATTGTCACATCCTCATAATGCCTGGCTGCAATTTTTAATCATATTTTTAATTTATTTAATTTAAAATATATGCTCTCCACCTCAAATTAGNGCAGTGGAAATTCAACTATCCACAAAAATTTTCAAAATAAATGAGCAATTATTTATTGTCACATCCTCATAATGCCTGGCTGCAATTTTTAATCATATTTTTAATTTATTTAATTTAAAATATATGCTCTCCACCTCAAATTATGGCTTGCTCCTATACATCATACTTTTCCTTTAACAATAAAGTCGTGCTAATCATTAGGGGCAGGAGGCCCTGATTAACTTTACATGAGCTTCTTATGCAAACCAGAAGTCATTTTATTTCAATTCAAACATTTTCCCCTGAAAGGAGTTAGATAGATGACTGGCACGAGTCTATTGTTAACAGGAAAAGTATAATGTACAGTACAAGACACTACTAATTTGAGGTGGAGAGCATATATTTTAAATTTAAAAAATACATGTATGATTAAAAATTGCAGCTTGGCATTGTGATGACGTCACAATAAATAATTGCTCATTATATTATAGTATTTATTATTCTTCGAATGTTCTTTCAAATTTTAAATAAACAGTACTTGATGCACCCAAAACATAAATACAAATGTGTTCTTTTCTGTATTTTGGATCTGTATTGTTCAAAACTTCATTTATCTGAAAGATCACTAGTCTTTTGGATAACTGTAAGACAATGAGTCATCAAGTTTGGATAATAAAGTTTCCACTATAAAATTTTATCCAACATTTCTAAATGTTTTTTAAAGGAACTTACTGAGAAGTATTTTGTTGAGAACTATCTTCCGGAGCAGATATTATTTCTAAGTTCCCTGTTTTTGTAAGGACGGCAGTAAGCTGAATAAAAAGCATAATTAATTAAATAAATAATTCTTAAATTTTAATTATTATTAAAAATATTCACAACTTTTATATTCTAGATTTAAAATAGAATTTAAAAATTTTTACATATAGCATTACTTTGAATTTAAGATGCATCCTTAAAAACAGACTTTAAGGAAAAAAACTTGGATTATACTTATTAGAAAATATAGTATAAAAGAATTTATTAAAAAGAAAAACATTAATAACACATTTAAAATTAAGCATAATTAATAAAAAAGAAAAATAAAGCAAAGATTTAAGTTTTTATCATAAATATATCTCATTAATATGACAGCTTGGGTTCAGATCATCACCATAAAGTGAATATCACCTTAAAGCCTATTTACATCATTTATTAATTAAGTGTACAATAATTTTAACTAAAAAAATTGATGAAAAAATAACAAATAAATAAATAAAAATACCTTAAGCAAGACAAATACAGAAAAAATGAACACAAACACTTAAAAAGTATCATATTAACATATTGCCTTAAAGCAAGATAAGCCGAGCCTATACATACAAATTTTTTATGATGACAATGAATACCCGAATAAAAATGCACTCCAACTCTTTAAGTTTGGAAATATGTAAGGAAAATGCATCTTAAATTCAAAATAATATGGTATATAAATAAAATGTCAAAATATATAAACTATTACAAAATGTGAGATCCGGAATTTTTGTGACGAAAATCCCGCTCTTTTATTAACAAAAATGTTAATTAATTAAACTTTCATTTATGTAATGCCCTAGAAGAAAAAACAATTTTTAGCCGGGATTGTGTAAACTTTCCGGTCATAACTAGCAACATCCATTGTTCTCTGCAGAACTTGCATCTCGTCTTGCAAGAAGGTTTACAGTTAGCATCTAAATGTCGTCATTTGTTTTAGATCCCAGGAACACCTATAACCATTAACTCATGAACATCTGATCACGTGGTGGAAATTCCCCACAAAAACCTATAAAAGACAGTTCTTACCCCCTCTCTGGGGGAGTCTATTACCGAACGCTGGACCGACGACACAGCGCCAATTTTCCGAACCCGCCGAATTCCGATGAACCTCGAATAAAATCATTGCAAAAGTCGCGAACTTTTTAAATTTGTGCTCCTGTGGATAATAGATTTGAACATTTAAGCGCCTCCCCAGATTAAACCGATCAAGGAACTCCATAAAGAGATATGAACGCGGGAAACTCTCTCTTAAGAATATAAGGCAGTTTAGGAATGCTATTTGTGAATTTGTGTAGTCTTTGATTAATTTGCTTGTTTTAATAAATTGTAATTTTATTTGTTATAACAATGGTAGACTCTTTTACTCGATCACGTCTTTCACCTTATCGTCGACCCCAACTTCTCTCCATCCACTCGCCTGACATTTGAGAATCAATTAGACGTCCTGACAAGTGAACGGGAGACTAATCCCCCGTATTCACAAAATCTTTAAACACAGATGATCTAATTTAAATTTTGGATATTCAATTATCCAAAAGATTCTTGTCAAAACACTTAACTAAAATATTTAAGAAATAATTTCTAAATACTTATGTACTTTTCCTTCAGTACATTAATTTAATTCTGATTTTTCTAGTCTTAAGATCTGATCTTTACACTGAATTACATGAAAGAATCCAAAAGATAATTTCCTTTACATAAAATTGTTCTCTTTTCTAACTTTAATAATAATACAGTATTTTCAGGTACCACTGTCTCTTTTCTTATCTCTAAATCTGATGGAATTCCTTTACTATAATGGGCCAGAACTATTAAAGGAAGCAATTTTTTGTTTTGTATGATAGTATATCAGTATAATAATTTTAAAAGGGTCAAAAGACCATGCATTAAAAAGTTTATTCTAAAGTGAATGGAAGTCAAATTCTATCAATTTAAACATTTACTTAATTTAACTTCTACCAATTTAATATTTATAACGTCTTGGCCATCTTGTATAGCAGTAATCAATGATCACTGCTCTACAAAATGATTTATTTATCTATATCAAAATAATAATAATAACAATAAATTATATTTATAACATGACATTTGCAAACGTATTTATTAATAATATTATTAAATAAATTATAACTTTAAAAATAAATCACATAATAATTTTTTAAAAAATCTAATTTTTAAGATGTTATCAAGTTATCAGACTTTGAGATTAAGGGATTAAATTATTTAAATAAATTTCAATATTTCAAGAATAAATTTAGATAAGCTTTCATTAAAATAAAAACTTTTTCTAAACTCTATCTTAAAATACTTTAAATGGGCTTAAACTAATGGAATTAATAATGGTATATAAATACAGTAGAGCGTCGATTTTCCGAAAGTCAATCATACGAAAGAATTCCAGTCGGCAAATTTAAATTTTCGCCAGTGCTGTGGCGCTTCAATCTTTGGCTATGTCTTGGGCTACTCAAATATTTTACGTTTTTGATACTAAATTAACATCTGAAGTATAATTTTTTATTGTTTTTATATTTTTCAATATATTTATTTCGTTCGTACAAAATAAAAAAATAATTTTTAATGATACAATAGTCTTCGTTAAGCTTAACATTGACGAAAATTCAACGTGAAGCGACACGCAACGGATAAAAATTTTAACATCGGATACGTTAAACTATTTTTTCGTACATAAATCGGTTATCCGAAATATCAGTTATACGAACAACCCCAGTCCCCAATTGATTCGGAAAATCGACGCTCTACTGTAT